GTCTGAATCTGGTCACATGCACGCTTGGCAGGACAAGATGTGCCGAGCTTTCCCGAGTGCTGGAAATACCATCTTGGGGGTGAGCTTTCGTGCAGCGGCACACAACGCCTGTGACCTTATTGGCTGCCCTGACCGGAGCCGTTTGGTCGTCCACCCCACCCCGCTAACCCAAAGCGTGGGATCTTTTTGGTTACATAACAAACAAACATGAAAGCGATCTATTTCTTTACACTTTTCCCTTTTTGTATGCAACGTGTCCACCCACACAACGTGTTTCAAAGCCGCATAAGTCTCGCTCCACTGCGCCCCCCCCCCCCCCCCCCCCCCAGGAGAGCGTCCGCATCACACAGCAAAGAACTCTGGGAAGGTTCTCACGGTTGGCCTATGACGACACCGCCAGGAACACAACAGCAATCTTGAGCCCAGGGAGACGGGATTTATTGACTAAGCTATTAACGCCTATCACCTCCGATTAGCACGGCTGGCCACGTACGGTGCGAAAGAAGATCAACATACATACGTACATCGCATGCATAAGGCACTGCAGTGGATTTCAGGTGCTGAGCAGCGCCCAGAGAGACAGAGTCGGAGGCACAGCTGTCGCTACGTCCTCCTGGACATCCGTTAAAATGAGCTTCGTATCTCATCGGATTCCTCCGGTCTAAATAAAGTTGCTGCTTCTGATGTTGGTCGGTGTAACTAGGGTCGTTTGCCAGCCTTCAGAGTCAGAATCTTTGTTTGTCCTGGAGGAATCCCATGAGCCGTGAAGCTCACTATTGCAGAAGAAACAAACGTGACCAGGGCGATCAAAGCTCGAGATGATCCGTGCAGCTGCAGAATGCCTCCCCCCCCCCCCCCCCCCCCGCAGCTTGCGCTGACTAGCGGGCCCGCTTCCATTAAATTACTTTGCCGTCTTTCCTTCCGACACTTTACAATCGCGCTGTCGGAACAAGGTCATGAAAGATCATCAGAATGCATTCGGAAATCTTACGGAGCAGTGCCGGAGAATGGTGGCGGAAGAGATTTCCACAGGACGTCATGAAAAATCATTCTAGTCGCCTTTATATCCTTTCAACAGCAGGGGTTACGCTGTGCAGCACACTCTGCCGTGAGGTTGCTTGTTGCAGGACAGTCACGCCAATATTTTAATTCCCAGAGCCGCAATATATTAAGATTACGTGTAAAATGTACGAATGTTAACCCTTTCCTGTTCCAAGATGTCTGCAAGTTGCAGACATCTTGGAACGCGCCAGCAACTTAGCGGTAATTTTATTTGAAGAGGCATAGTAGTGCCGTTGTTTTTAAAGACATTGTACTTACCGCAGAGAAGTGTAGCGACACGACCGCATTCTACGATAGCTGGCGCCAATCTGTGCCACACGCCCTCCCACATGGCCTTGCCGGAGCCTCAGTACTGATAAAGTTATTTTATTTGAGTTTTTCACCCGGTTTTGTTTTGATCACGTTCACATACGTGAACGTACATGAATGGAATCGGAAGAAAAACTACTGATGATGCACGCAAGCGGACGTCATCGGAACGGGCAAGGGTTAACATGATGGGCTTTAAATTTTTGTGCAGTTATTGGCGACCGGGCTGAGATGGTCAGCTCGATGCACTTGAGAACTCGGCCCAATCGCAGGTGGCTCAAGCGCAGGGCACTCGGCAGTGCCAGCTCAGCGCTCCGGGACTCTGGGTAGCGCGGCCGCCCCCGAATATAACACAACGCGTCGGCGCAGAGAGGTTGGGGTAATGGCCAGGCAGCATGCACTTGGAAGAAGTCCTGCGTTAGGCACGTGTGCGAGACAAACGCAGAGGCTGGCACCGCTGCCGGACCGATCGCAAATGTCCTGACGGCAGCGGAGTCTCAAGACTCGTTCTCAGGAGCATCTTGCGTTGGGACGTTGAAGCACACACACAACAAACAAAGATTGTTGGAGCAAGTACTGTTCGGGAGCACGTATGAAGGCCGGCACGGCACACGAGGGAGTGGGTGGCCAGTACCATGCCCTGCCGACGTTTGTCTCCCTTGTGGCGATGTTTACTACACACTGCACCAGGCACTCATTTGAGGCTGAGTCTACCTAGGGGAGGCCCAGCACCGATTGAGATAATCGTCACCAGTGTTGGCCGAGTTACCGGGTTTGTAGCGTAGCACGCTAACCGCTACGCTACCGCTCCCCACGCATATACACACACGCTCGCACACAAGTACACGATCACACTCGCACGCAATCCAAGCCCACGACCTCCCACTCTCGTCCACCCTCACACATTCACATTCATTTTTGGTTGACCATCGAACAAGGACGGTCACCGCATCGCACACTTTCAGATACACTTGTCGGCCGTCTGGAACGCTCTTACTTCCAATATTAAGAAGCTGCTGGAGCTATGCACTTTCAAATCATCTAGATTGAAAACTCGTGTCTTTCGAACTACTTTTTGTGTTTAGTTTGTTGTCATTCCCTCACGACAGTGAATACACAAACACCCCAACCACAAACCATGGGCACTATCTGTTCACCCAACGAGCCTCCGCGTCTATCGTGAATGCAAACCCCAACGAGATTCCCGCGCTCAGTGAAGTCGGGAAGGGCACACTAAACCCGCGACAGGAACTCAACACGGCCCTAACTGGGAGATATACATACGTAGAGTATGTGCTGTAGATGGCAGGCGATGTCTTGGGCAATGTGACCCTTTATCACTTCTCTGCTGCTGCTGATACGACGAAGAAGAAGAGGCCACTGTCCAAAGCATCACGTTTTGCGAATATTTATTTTCCTTCATATAGGGATTATCCGAGTAGCACAAGTAGCTACATATGCTACGGGCCCCGCACTTTCAAGGGCCCCGCGCTAAATACTTACAAGCTATCAATTCCGGTTCAGTGATTCTGCACTTGCTCTATTACTATGGCATTATACCGCCTTCAACTTTTATGAACGACTGGGTGTTTAAGGTTAGCGATTTATAATTCATAATCAACGATTTTTGGGTTTAGATCGCGTTTATTTATTCGCACGCGATCTAAACCCAAAAATCGTTGATTATGAATAACATTGGTCACGAAAGCCTACGTGTTAAACTAGCGATTTATAAAAAATACAATTACTTTACTATGCAAGTAAAAAATGTATGTGTTTTAATATTTACGTGTTTTCTTTTTATTTAGGGCCCCTTTATAACAACATATGCTACAGGCCCCACACTAGTTTAATCTGGCACTGAGAGGGCACCATTATTGACGAACGTGTTCGGTGTCTCTGTCTTTGTTCTCGTGGCCTGTGCACCGCACCGTGGCCACGCAAGATCACAGATGTCGCGTTCGACTGCCGACTTTGCTTTTAAAACCGATTTGGCTACGAGCTGAGATATATAAAACTAAACAAAAAAACAAAGCCTCCTTTTGGACCATCGCTCGGCCGAAAGCTGGCGAGCCGACGTCTCGCCCAGCCTTTCCGAGCTGACTCTCTCTCCCCCTGACGTGTGATCTGGCCGTGCTTGCGCCCGACACAAAACACGTTGCTCGCAGATGGGGGGGGGGTAGTGGCAAAGGCGGACATCGTTTTAAGAATACCCGACACGTTTAGATTACCAAGTTTGTTGAGCCAAGCTGGCCAGGAGTGGACGAATCTCAGCCTATTTTTCACCAAGTCTCTATGTATCGCTATGTATCTCTATGAATATCTGTGTATCGTTATGAGTCTCTATGTATCTCTGTGAGTCTATATCTATCTCTATGATGCAGCAGCTTGGAGACAACTGGACTGATGCATTTGGAAATTTAAAAACACGGGAACCATATACGAGGCGGAACAGAAATTGAATTTAAGGACTCAAGTAATATTCTAACCACGGACAAACACAGTTTTGAGGAGTGACGCTATGTATGTACACACACACAAGATAAACTCTTCGCATGGACACCAGTTGATCGATTCCTCACCATGCAAACTATGTTGGATGGTGTCCAGAACATAAACCACGTTTGTCTCTGTTTGGGCGATTTAAAATGTGTTTAATCAACCCCCGACTGGGAGAAATTATATATTCTCTTAACCATTACACCTTCAACAGTGCTATTTGTTGCTGGCCGCTTGGTGTTTTGGGGGGACCTGCGCGGCTGTTCAAGCGAGAGATACCGGACTCGCTAGGAGCTTATCTCATATTAGGCTTGAGTGTGCTAAATGTACGATTCAAACTATAAACGAAAAACACCTGCTTTTAAATTTGCCAGGTAAGGCCCACTGAGCCAGGTCACAAATGAGAGCTCAACGAAGTGGCTGATCATTGTGTGGACATTAATAGCAGTAGCCAAATACTCTAAACGCATGTTGGTTCCAAACGTGGAGGGAAAAACCAGAGGACCCAGAGAAAAATCCACGCGACCACGTGGAGAGAGAACATGCAAACTCTAAAATTCGGGCATCAGCTTTGGGATTGAACCCACGACGTCCTGTATACCAGGCGAGGGATTACATCTCGCCACCTGGCGACCTGCGGATAGCAAGTCCGGTGCGCTGCTAACCATTGCACCACAGCAGCTGCATGCCAAAAATTATGATAATAATGGAAGTGGTCAGAATTACAAATGAGGTCATTGCTAGAGTAACTCAGTAATCATCAGCGATGCACTCACACGACACTCCAGTTCTCCGGTGGCATTGTAGAATTGAACCCACGACCGCGTGTATACCAGGCGAAGTAGTGAACGCCTCGCCACCGTGGCGCCCCTGACCAATCACACCTTCAACGGTGCCGCCAGAGCAAAACCCACACGACCACGCGGAGACACCACAAACTCCAAATATACAGCAGCAGGCGCCGGGGTCGGGGATCGAACGCACGACCTCCTGCACACCAGGCGAGGTAGTTCACATCTCGCCACCGTGGCGCCTTCAAACAGCGCCGTTTCTTTGCCGGGCCCATTGGCGTTTTGTGGCCTCCCCGGTGCGAGCAGGAGGGGGGGGGGGCGGTCTGTGCAGGTACTCACGTGCAGCTCTTCCAGGGACTGGCAGAGGCTGCCCTGCTTGCTGGGAGGCCGGTGCAGCACTCGGCGGAAGGACGCCTGCCGCCCCCGCAGGTGGAACATGGAGCCCACGGGGAGCGGGTGATGGGGGGGCTCCAGCCGCCCCGCCTTGCACGACTCCCCGGGAGTGGGAGGGAGGAGGCGCTGTGGGTTCGGGCGGCCGGTTCAGGGGCAGAGAGGGAGGAGGGGGGGCAAACGTGTTACAGCTGAACGCGGAACGTAGCTACGTGTCGCTAGGGTGGCACGGCAGCGAGGCGGGTGGAGGAGAAGCGCTGTCAATCACAGACGAGCTCCACCACGCACTCTCCTTCCATCGGCCCTCCTCTCCTCACTCTCTCTCCGCACTCCCCGTGCTCTCTCCCTGACCCGTGCTCTCTCCACTCTCTCTCCGTGCCCCGCTCTCTCTCCGATGTCTCTCTCTGCCCTGCTCCAAAGCGGTTGTACCGCCTCCCACACGCCTCCCACCGCCCTTCTTCTCCTCCTCATCATATTTGAGGTGTTAGTCACTTCCTATGCAGAGAGGCTGCTCGCTCACTCACTCCTCACGCTCTCTCCTCCGGCTGCACATCGCAACCGCGTGCAGAGGCCCGAGTTGGCGGAGCTTCAGCAGCGAACTGCAGAGGCAGCTCGTCTCGTTTGACGTTATCCTCGCCCCGTCATTTCGGTTCCCAAACTTCTCTGAGAATTCCGTCCCTTCGACCCGGCAAATCATCAGAGTCATGAGGCAGCAGCGGCGGCAGCAGCAGCGGCAGCAGCAGCACTAACAAACAGCAGCAACGACATTGGAAGTGATGGAAATTTGAGAAATCGAGACGGCAAGTTATTTAGACGCTGTACATACAAATTGGATTGCCATTGTTACGGTAAAGGTGCAGCCCTGCAATTTCTACCGGACATGTGAAAAAGAGCTTCATAGCTCATCGGATTCCTCCTCCAGTCCAAACAAAGATTCTGATTTCTTGCTCGAGCCACTGGCTAGCACAGGGGTCGGCAGCCAAAATAACAGGAAGGGGGCGTTTTTTTGGAATTCAATAAAAAAAAGCTCGAAATTTCAAGAGCCGCAATGCACCGTGTGGTGAAAACGAGACGGCGGTCGTCCTGAATAAACGACGCGATGAAGGCGGTCTCCTGAAGGAGCCAGAGGCTGCCGACCCGCGGGCTAGCGGCAGGGCCTCTGCTACGGAGCTCTCGAGAGCCCCTCTGCAGGTTGTTTGGCCTACTCTTCCACACTGGCCAGGCGTCTTGGAAGAGGTGGTGGCTACCCGCACTTTACCCCACCGCACGCGACTTACTGATCACCCCTGTGGCGTTACGTATTCATGTTGCTGGTGGATAGAAGCGGTGTGGGCAGGTAGGGCTGGGGGGTTCTGGGAGGGGGGGGGGTGGTAGATTTTAAGAAATGTTTTTGCAAACGAAACTATTTTTTATTTTACCAGCTAAGGCCCACTGAGCTGTGTAGCTCTTTTTCAGAAGCGACCTGGCCACAAATGATTGCTCAACCAAGTGGCTTTTCGCGTGGAAAATTTTAGCAGTCAAATACTGTCCGTGTCGCAGCAGTGCGGTGGCATTTTAGACAAAATTCTGGTGGCATCTTAGACGGAATTATCGCTGCCCATCTCCCAGCCGCCCTTTCGCAGCCCACGCAGCCAACGGGACTATCAAAGGAGCCTCTGTTTTCGTCCCTTTATTTTTGCTTCCCTTTGCTCTTTGCCACAGAGCTCTGATTTTTCTTGCGTGAAAGAAAAAAAAATCCTCTTGGCTTGAGCAGTTACGTGCCCAGTGTGCCCCGCGTGTGTGTGTCTCCATGCAAATATAGCAGAGGCTCACCATGGGTGCTGTGTGTGTGTGTGTGTGCACGGTGAGCGAATTGTAAACAAAACAAAATCAGTGCTGGAAATGTATATTTTGACAGGTTAGTATAAATAGCACCGTATACACAAGACTGTCCACGTGGAGTAAATATAGACCGTATATGCATGGCTCTTTTATACAACGACATTTCACTTATATGAGCAGCCTGTCAACGCGTTCTTTTTAGAGAAAACGTCACGCTAAACTAAAACTAAGCTTCTTTTTACCAACTAAGGCCCACTGAGCTACTTAGCTCTTTTTCAGAAGCGACCTGGCCACAAGTGATAGCTCAACAAAAGTGGCTTTTCGTGAACGCACGTTGATTCTAAATGTGGAGGGAAAACCCGGAGGACTCGGAGAAAAATCCACGCGACCACAGGAAGAGAGACACTCAAACTCCAAATCTACTGCAGGGGTCAGGGTCGGGATCGAACCCACGACCTCCTGCATACCCAGCGCTCTGCATTTACTCCGAAGCCAAATCACGGAGAATTTGTTCAAATGCTATGGCCCAGTGCTGGCTTCTCCCGTCGATTCGACGTATTTCGTGCTCGGCTAGAATTGAGGGTATTAATCTTTTCCCAAGGGATTGCCAAATGGCGGAAGAGAAGTGCAGGTCCGCGACTCACGAGCGCGGATAAACAGATCCTTTCAATCTTAATTTGAAGCTTTCGTGACTGCAGGAATCCATACTCTTTGGTTCTATCGGTAAAGTCACGTAGGTAGAAAAATTTAAGAAAACAAAAAAGAATATATCACGACGTTTCGATCGCAACACAAGCGGTCGTCCTCAGGCGGAAAAAAACATCCTCAACCTCTTGTTGTCACAGCTCTCTCGCTGGTTCAGCAGTTCCACTGCTGGATTATTTTTTCCGCCTGAGGACGATCAAGTAACGTGTTCTGCCCAAGCCCACTCGATGGCTAAACCACTGGTTCACAAGTGTCTCTGGTGGATAATAGCCCATCTCGATAATGTTGAATAATAGCCCATATCTATGACAGTGGATAATAGTTCATATCTATGACGGTAGATAATAGCCCATATCTATAATGGTGGAAAATAATCCATCTCTATAATGGTGGATAATAGCCCATATCTATAATGGTGAATAACAATAGTCCACGAGTTTCCCATCGTCTCGCCAGAGGCTTTACCGCCGTACGCAGCAAATCATTCAAATTTAATCGTCCGGCGATCACTGCAAATCCACCCAGCGGGAGGAGGGCGGATTAACCCAATAGGCCAATGAGGACTTGGGCCCTCATCCGCTGGAGGGCCTGCTTTAGGCCCTCCATTCAATGTTGAAGTGACAGCTGAGTGATGGTCGTGGACATCATGATATCGCATCATACATGACGTCATGATATCACATCATGCATGTCATCATGACATCACATCATACGTGACGTCATGATATCACATCGTGCATCACATCATGCATCACATAATGCATGACTTTGCCATAGCTTAAAGCTATGAATAAACAAATGTTGTCTGAAGGAATGAGTGCAGTGAGTGATTTATGTTTGATTAATTTACCAAGAGTCACGTAAATGTATTACATTTACTTAGGTAAATTAATACTTTTGATGACTTCATATTTTTTTGTTGTTGCTAAATATTGTATTGCTTCATTATTCGCGCGGGATATTTTACGGAGATGCTCGTGAATTTCACAGATATTGGCCTACAGATACCGTACGTGCAACGGCTGCAGATGCGTCTAAAGTTTCGAGAAGTTCTCTATCTCTCTCATCACTTTATCTCTCTCTCTATGCAGTCGTATAGAGTTGCAAATGTGATTCACGGATATCCAAGATCACGGAGAGCAAGTTCGTGAGTAACAAGGCCCCCCGACTCCACCACAACGCATCGGCGACTTCGTTCAAACGTCCCATGGCAAACCACGATGCCGCTAACCGAGCTCGGCCAGGTTGATTTTGCCAACCAATTCAACGGCGGTGATGTGTGTGTGTACACGCGAGGTGGCGACCGGTGGCTCAGAATGAACGACCACCGGACTGCGGCCCAGAGGAGGGAACGCGCTCGAGGGAGAGGACGCGGCCGCCCCGGAGAGACGGAGCGAGTCCTTCATCCAGCAGTGGGTCGGTGCACGACTGACGACGATGTGTGTTGAACTTCTTTCGCGCCGTATATGACCAAAAGTGCTAACGGGAGACGCGATGATGATGATGATTATGACGAGACGGGGATGCTTGCCACTACCGCCGTGCCACATTGCTATGCTGCAGTCACCCGATGCTCTCATTGTTTGTGGGCATCGCTGCTCTGCCTCGCGTTCTTGCCGCAGGGCAATTTGGCACGGTGGGCCGCGTAGGGTGCCAAAGAAGTTCAAGGTGCGTGCGAGCCCGCGGGTCGGGGCGATCGACTCCTGCGGGTCCTCCCTCGCCACGGGGACGCGAACTGCCGCCCTGTCACTCATCGACACGGTGACACAGCCACTGCCCTCCAAGCCTGGTCCGGCAGCTCTCTACACAAAACTGCTACACGCACAATTAAATGAACCCCATGCGCTTCATCGTAACGGGAACACTGCAACCGACACCAATCCCCCTGGCTTCATATTTCGGCGAACATTCTGCCACCAAATATCCACAGAGGCAGACAAACTGCAAGGTAGTGTACAGGTTTTCTTGCCAACGACAACGACCTTTACCCATCATTAACCAACACCTCAACAATGTTCCTCGTCCCTGACTCAAGTGCCCCATCCCTCTGCTGGGATCGTGCCGCTGTCACCGTCCTAGAATCTCACCCAGATCCAACAGGAGGCTGGCGAACCGAGTGGCACAACGCGGACGTCCAGAATAAACTCCTCATTCGAGACCCACACATCGCACCTCCTGGCTCTGACAATTCCTCGAAGACACCGGCGGTGTAACCATCAGCCGCATCAGACTATCAACAGGCCGCGAAGCTCATCTCCTTCACGAATGGATAATGAAAGACTCAGCCACAGTCGTGGTGACTGTGGCCATGCAACCCACACTTTGGACTGTAAATCACTGTAAGTCTGCGCTCCTTCAATGGAGGAACAGAAAGACGACATTCATCTGAACACAACTGTACCGCTATACACAAAAAATATAATACAATCTACTGCTGGATGGCCTCCAAAACCGTCGTCACCTCTCACGGTTTTGAGATTAAACAAAAAAAACACTTGGCTAGAAGAACACGAAGTAGCCACGAGTGAGCGTAGCAACATGGTTAAACAATATCTACGCACATACACAATTGCATGGTTGTTGCTGTAGTTTTAAACCAAGGC